TTTTTTGTCTCAGTTTCTACCTGAATTTTACCAAAATCAAAATAATTTTCATGCCTGAAGATGACTGAATGTACTCTCGAACATACCTGCATATTTAAGGAAGACCTAATACAGTTTACAATTTTAAGAATCAAGGATCATACCATTCATCGTGTGATTGGTAGGTTAATGCATCTTCAAAATTTAGTTAGCGAAGGGATTTCGCCATTTTATACCGTTACCTTTACTAATTTAGTTTTTGTATGAATGATTCATTGTAACATATATATATATATATATATATATATATATATATATATATATATATATGTCTGTGTGTGTGATAAACTGATTAATTTTGAGAAATTATGCCAAAATTTTACTTACTTCAGCTGCTGGAACCCGTGAAGAAATTAAGATTATTCTGGAAGTATTCTCACTTATTTTAGAACCCAGTCTTGAAGTATTTTTGAGATCATTTGTTCTACAAAAAAATTATATCAAGATATGTTGGTGTTTAAAAACTGATAAATTTGACAAATCCTGAAATGTTATCCACAAACAGTGAACTTCCAAAACAAAAAAATATTCAATAAATAATCACAAAGCACTATTTTTTTACCAATATTACTTGACTAAATGATTTCTTTAGCATTCTGCTCCATAATCTTCTGACTTCTTTCAGTCAACTTCATAATTCCATCCTCTTAGAATTAAAAAAAATATTGTGAGTTTAAAAATTGCTTTAGGTTATTTTTGCAGTTTTCATCATTAGTTTTAGATTAATATTCTTCATCCTACATTTGTTTCTTTTTTTGCACAGTTCTAAATCAAAGTGCTTACAGTTGATTGAGATGAACATCATAAAAACAAAAAGCTTCTAATCAAAATTGAAATCATATCTCATTTTTGCATTTTAGTCATATCTTTCAAGCCTTTAAGACACATCTTATTTTTCAGACACATCTTTCAGATGTGTTTCTTTTTAGATAAATCTTACAAATTTGTTTTGTTAAGATACATCTTTCAAAATTGTTTCTTTTTATACAGATTTGTTTCTTTTTAGACAAATCTTTCGAATCTGTTAGTTTTAAGCAAAACATTTCAAATTTGTTTCTTTTTAGGCACATCTTTCAAATCTGTTTCTTTTTAGACACATCTTTCAAATCTGTTTCTTTTTAGACACATCTTTCAAACCTCTTTCCTTTTAGGTAAATCTTTCGAATTGGCTTCTTTTAACACACATCTTTCAGGTTTGTTTCTTTTTAGATAAGTCTTTTGAATCTGGTTCTTTTTAGATAAATCTTTCAAATTTTTCATTTTAGACACATCATTGTGGGTGTCTTTAGATAAATCTTTCAAAACTGTTTCTTTTTAGACACATCTTTCAAATCTGTTTCTTTTTACATAAATCTTTCAAATTTGCTTCTTTTAAGACACATCTTCCAAATTCCTTTTCTCCAGCAATACACAAAAATATAATTTTGAAAGAAATTGGAATTAATCAGGACCAACTGCTAGGAATGGGTTAATCCTGTTTGAGCACGCATTCTCTTTGAACATGACCTATTCATTCTAATAATTTGGTTGTTTTTCACTAACCAAAATATTGTTTCATTCATATGGAAAGAAAGTTGTTTACACCAGAAATTAAGTACTTTTTTGTTGTTGTTTTTCTGTGGTTCATTCTCTAGTTTATAAAATCAAGGTTTTACCAAGCAACTTGTAAATCAAACTAGAAATGTTAAACATCCGTAAAAACAATAACAAATCATTGGATTGTGTTTCATGATCTGCACCAATATTTGCTTCCTTGTTGATTTAAAGTGAAACATAACAACTTCAATTACCCATTTGCAGAGATGCCATATGCTAGCTCTCGTTTAAACTCCCAGGGTTGGTCAACTAACTGACGAAGGCGCATCTCGTTGCGATTCTCTAGGGCTTGTACTTCAGACAGCAGAAAACTTGGATGGGAAATATCAAGCTGAGGGTTCATTTCTTCAAAAGACTAAAACAAGAAAAAAAGGGGAAAGTGTTTATATAGGATTTGAAAATGTACTTAGGACATAAACATAAATGTGTCAAACAAAAAAATTTAGGAGGTAGTGTGTGTGTATGTGTGTGTATGTGTGCACATGTGTGTATTATTGAGTGCCTGTATACATGTGTTTTAGCATAGTTACACAAATTAAAACATACACACAAACAGGCATACCTGTATGTATATATATGTGTGTGTGTGTGTGTGTGTGTGTGTATGTGTGAATCAATATCTGAACTGAAGATGCATATTGTGGTACACAAGAATGACCTACCACAGCAACATCCATTTAACTCTGTGAAGACTCTGGAGCACATCTGTCATCTGTGCTATAGGTCTTGCAAATCAGCTGCTGGTTTGAACAGCCACCTTAGAAGTCATTCGAAACAAAACAGTGATCTAGATTGATTGTAGGTGTTGATGGGCAAGACAGCAGTCATTTGTGAAGATGGGGCAATCAACATTATATATATATATATATATATATATATATATATATATATATATATATATATATATATATATATAAAGTATATAATTGGTGTATATGGAATGAATTCCAATAACCAACAATCACTTATCTTAAAAGAGTGCTCAATACAAAGTAGAGATATAATTATTTTTATAAAAAAAAAAATTTATAACATAAATATGTTATAAAAATCACTACTTGTAGTGATTTTATAACATATTTATGTTATAAAAATTTTTTTATAAAAAATTATATATATATATATATATATATATATATATATATATATATATATATATATATCCACTTGAATCCATTACATTCACTTATGTGCTAATACTTTTTCGAAGGATATGAATTTTCTTCTACCCCCAGCTATGGATAAATAGCAGGACAGACTAGATTCTATAGCTTTAGTTGGTAACTGGTCTTGGTGAAGGACAACTCTGAATTCAAAACCTGTGGAGGGTCGTTTGGGGACCTTGTGGCATGTAGAGCACCAGGTCTCTGTATTCAGCCCTTCAAAAAGTGTGGTTGGTTCTGCACAAAGCCTTCACCACTATAATCAAATCATAAGTGCAGGTGTCTGGTCGGTGGGTCCTAGCAACTGAGATGCTTGATCCTCATATGTTGAATATGATGGGGAGGAGTCATATATATATATATATATATATATATATATATATATATATATATATATATATATATACATACATATGTGTGTGTGTGTGTGTGTGTATGAGTTGTCAGATCCGTATACCTCAAAAAAATCATATATATATATATATATATATATATATATATATATATATATATATATATATATATATTCATAATGTGTATTTGGGCAGCAACATTCTTTTTAAACATGTTTCGTTGAATATGATATACAAGGAAATTTCATTAATTTTTTTTTAGTTTTTCCATTATTCTGACATTTTTTTTAGTTATTAAGAGAGTGCAAAAATTATGTATTGTTCATCATCCCAAGTAACTTTCTTCAGCCATTTTAAGGTGGGGGAGTTGTTCGTAAGTGTTATTAATTTCTTTATATTTTTAACTCTTTAAAATATAGTTAATATATACATATACATGGTACAATGAATAAATTGTTGTATAAATTATGCAAAAATGAAAATAACACTAACATCTTATTTTAATAGATATATTTACCAAAATTACAAAAAATATTCCAGTGAATCTTTCTGAAGAAGTTTTGGACAAAAGAGTTCCTCTTAAAAGAATGTGTTCTATTATTTTCAAAGCCATATATATATATATATATATATATATATATATATATATATATATTTATTATTATTATTATTATTATTATAAGAGATTATAATAAAAATATGTTGAAATCACTACACAAAAGCTTTCATGTTTCAATACTAAGAATGTACTTCCTCAGGTGATAGTAAGTAACTGGTAATTAAATTCTTTAAATTTCCTTAAAATTCATTTAGTACCCAGTTAATTACCAAGTAATTAAGAAGTACAATCATGATATTGAAACATGACAGCTTTTGCGGAGCGATTTCAAAATGTTTTTATTATAATCTTTTATAATAAAAATAATAATAATATATTGCTCTACTTTCTATTGAGCACTATTTAAAAGTAAAATCTACAAACAGTAATTTGTTCTGTCAATCTAAAGTTTAAAATCAATGTTGACTAACAAGTTATGATGTCAGAATAGAATTGTCATCATGTAAATTCAATTTTACTATCATAAAACATGAAAGTACATTCCTTTCAAACTTTAATCTGACCACAATACAAATGTCAGCCTGACTCATGAGAGACTTTCCATGTTCTTTCCTTGAACATAACCAATAATGGCTGCCAAAAGTACAAGATTCCAGATTTCCTTTAAAAATTTACACCTGAGGAAAAAGTGATTAATTTGATAACAGGAGATACTCATCAAAAGCTTCCATATGTATTCTCCGCCTTTTCTGTTTCAAAAAACATGTTAATATATATATATATATATATATATATATCGGTAAGTACATATGTATGTATGTATGGTAAATACATATAAGACTTTTAAAGTCTATTACAGTGCCTATTCATGTTTTACACAAAAGATGCCAACCATACCACTTAAATGTATTCTTGCATCCCAGATGATTTATTTTCGCAACTTCCGTCTCCTACATCTTCAACCTGACGAAAAATAATTACTTGATGGAATTTAGAAAATGTGAAGGAAGAAAACTGTTCTTAAGCATTTACTTATTTCAAATGGAATTCTTCAGATTTTGCATTTATTTTTATCATGCAAAAATCTAAAATAAAAGAGAAGAAAACAAAGTTTCTGATACACCTGTTCTGTTCCCCAAGAGAAAGTAATACTCAGGTAAATCGTCATTAAAAAAAAAAAAGTTATTCGGCTATAGAATGTTTTTTGTCTGGAAAGGGAAATCTGCCATTTAAAGATGATTAATTCATTAAGTTTTCCTTTGTCAGTTTGTAAAAAAATCACATTATGACATGTGCACTGGTGCATATAATAAATTTGAAAATTTATTTTCCTATACTAGTTTATCTATCTATCTATCTATCTATCTATCTATCTATCTATCTACCTATCTATCTATCTATCTATCTATCATCTCAGTCTGTTAAATTTTTAACTCAGTGCGTTAATGTTCATCTGTCTATCTCAGTGTCTTAATGTTCATCTGTCTCAGTGTCTTAATGTTCATCTATCTATCTATCTATCTATCTATCTATCTATCTATCTATCTATCTATCTATCTATCTATATCAGTGTGTTAATGTTCATCTATCCATCTATCTCAGTGTGTTAATGTTCATCTATCTATCTATCTACACCAGGAAGCTGTAATATGAGGGGAAGTGAAAAAATAAGGCGTGGCTGACCATATATGGAGAGAAAAGGGAGATCACCGCCTTCTTGGGGGTTCAGATTGAGATCATAGAAAAAGAACACCATTGGAAAATTTGTAACCTTAAGGAATCAGCACATATGCTAGGCCACAAAAATCTCCTGAGCCGACCAAGTATAGAAATGAATACATATATGGGAACCAATAATAAGTAGTGCCAGAGAAAAGCGATAATAACAACAAAAATTGCAATGTGAGCTCTGGTAAAAACATGAATGATAACAGCAAAAAATGCAATATGAGCACTGGTAAAAAATGGTAGCTGAAGACATTAGGTTTATAATACCCAAAAATTCATACACAGATGTCTTCAAGGACACATGGCACAGTGGATAAAGGTGTTAAATGGAATCAATGTAAGGGTCTTCTCTGTTATTAAGTCCTTCTTAATGGAGAGGTCCCTAAATGGCCAGTCTTCTAAAGCTTCTTGCCAAGGCTTGCTTCTTGTTCCAACTTTCTTTCTACTTTGCACTAATGATCTGCCTAAGAGTCTGTTCTGATCTATCGTAGATATCTATTCTGATACAACAGTGTATGGGTGCACCTCCAAAATTCTAGATGTCTGAGCCTGGCAGATGGTCTCTCTTCTGACTTAGCTTTAACAGCTCAGTGAGTGAAAAACTGGCTGATCATATTTAATATTCCTTCATCATTGAACTGACCCTGAATTTTTAAACTATCAGGATGAACTGATGAACTTCTGGGAGACTCTGTGCATTGTGTGCCTATTGGAACTTAAGTTCATCCCAGACTAAGAGGAACTCACTAAAGATGCAGGAAATATGCTTCCCTAGAACACTCAAGTAAGTAAATGCTCCTGCTGTTCTCTACTCTTAGAAGAGCTAGATCAGACTGAAAATGAGTACTGCTGCCAAGAGGGTTTGCTATCTGGTTAGTTATTGTTATAAAAATTGTTTGATTATTTTCAATTCAATTTGATTATTGAAATTTATTGTATAATTTTTTTCTTGTTTGCTTAACAATTCACACAGGAAAAAAAGAGTGCACAATGCCATAAAAATGTCAGAGCTTTAAGATACTTTAAGTCAAATTTCACGTGATTCAAACGAGTCTCTTTCACACTTCCTCTCTAAGTGATAATTGAACTAATAACCAAGTCAAAAGCTTTGGACACTAATTTCACCCCATATTTTATTTTTTCATTTTAAGTATTTGCTTTTGTAAAATCTACAACAATTATGTTTTTCTCGCAACATAAAACTTTCAGTTTTTGGCTCATTCTCTCTATTAAACACTGATGACAGCTCCATAAATATGTCTTTATTAGTCAGTTATGTTCCTTGCACTTAGACACACTTAGACAATCATGTATCTTTCAATACATGACTGACAAAGCAGATTTTTTTTCCCCACAGTAGGTTGCCATTTCTTTCTATGGTAGACCAATTGCCATCCAAGGCTATAGAACCTGGTCCATCCTGCTATTTACCCATAGTTGGGGGGAGAAGGAAAGGATTTATACATTTCCCAAGGGTATTAGTACGTAAGTGAATGTAATAGATTAAACTGGAATTCGAACTCAGCTCTCCGATTCCTCAAACCGAGCCGCTATCCATTACTTCACTGTGCCTCCTCATGTTTTTATACCAGGTTAAATTGTGTAATTTAAAATATTATGTAAATGCAATGGTAATAAAATAATAATAACTGTTTCCTTATAAGAAAACATTCAGCATTCATTGACTGAGGTGTCAATAAAACATGAAGTTTGCATATGATACTAATTATTATGAATGTCTAAGAGTAAATTATTCTATTATGATGTCTAAGAGAAAATTTTATTTTGATTTTCCAAGAAATAAGTTGCCCATATTCTTTCAAGACATTAAAAAAAAAAAAAAAAAAAATTATTTTCCTTCGTCCCATCTCTCTCTCCCACCCTTTCTTTTTTTTTTTTTTTTTTTCCTTCCTATCCGAATTGTCTGTGGTGTGTATATGTCACCACGAAATGTATCTTTATTCTCTCTGTTAAGGTTTCATGTCACTCCTCCTCATACTTACACTTTCTCTAAATTCTGTTTTGATTTCCGGAGTTGTTTTTTTCTGTTTTCATTTTGAATTTGTAGGTTTGATGATTTGGATCGTATTTACGATTCCAATGGAATAAATTATGACCATGGAATATTAGTGTTTAAGCCTTTTATTATATATATATATATATATATATATATATATATATATATATATATATATATCAGAAATGGGGAATTTCAACATGTTGTAATAGTTAGCAAGTAGTGCATTTGATCCTCAGTGGGTGCTCTATGCTTTTAGTATTGTGCCACATCTAATTTATACTCTGTATATTGCTACATATACCAGAAATTGCTTTGTCTGTATTTCTGATATGAAACAGCAAATACAGCTTTAGTGAAAATCTGAACGAGTGTATGTGTTTTAAGACAAATAAAACCTTACATGACCGTGAAGTTCTCTGTAGCTGAGATGTTAAAGCACACCAGATCAGATGGGATTTCCTCCTGCAAAGGGGGAGGTAGGTTCAAATCCTGCTGTGGGGCATAGTTTCTTTAATAAGTTTTTGTAAGTGTGCAGAGCAGTAGAGAAAATAAATATTGTTTAAAATAATAGTGCATCTACCCAAATATGGGTGTTCACTAAGATTAACATCTGAAGCAATAAAAATATCTCAGATTAAAAAAAATAAAATGAATCAATTCTTTAGAAATTATATATATATATATATATATATATATATATATATATATATATATATATGTATGGCTTCCACATACATGCCCTTTTCGCTGTATTACAGCTCATCAGTATGGCTATACAACCGATTGCTTCAGCGCCAGGATCGTAACCCAACCAATTTGGCATTGGTCAGAGATCCTACACCTAACCTATTGGCATACAACAGAGAAAGGGAAATTTGAACAGATTATATATGGATGTATACAAATGCCAGCAGCCAGAGGGCTCAATTTATTAATAAAGAGTTGTTCATTAATAGCAATGGCGGCTACTTTAAGGAAAATACACTTTTCTCTGTAGTGCTTGGTTGAATAATGAGAGTGTAACACACACACACACACACACACACACACATATATATATATACATACACACACACACACACACACACACATATATATATATATATATATATATATTTATATACACATACACGCACACACATATATTTATATATATATATTGGTACAAATATGTAATTATTTTTCTGTCTGTCTTTATAAAAACAGTAGCATTTTCATTTTCAACTGTCAATCTGACCAGTTTTTATATCAGAATTAAATGAAAGAGCTCTTGGATTCTTATTTTTCTTTTTAATTGTAATAGAAAATTATAACCGTTTCCATACAGGAAACATTTGGCATTCATTGATTGAAACAAGGAAATTAGTAATCTCATGTCCATTGTTGTTATTTCTAGTATTATGAGTATTTCTTTCGAAACCTTTTGTTTAACGTCATGAGGAAAATCAAAATCTTGAGTATGTCATTATTTTCCCTTCCATTTATATGTGCTATTCCTTTTTCTTGTTACTACTGTTGGAAGTCTTGAAGTTGATAAAGCTCTTTGTTTATGACTTTTTAGTGCCATTCTATAATGGCTCATGAAGTATTACCTGTACAAAGGTCATCATTGATGCCTTTTTAAACTGATAAGGAATTACTATTTACCTTATTTATTCTTGGATTATTGTTCTCATTTTTGTGATTGTTATCACAATGTTTCGGCTGTTGTGGCCCCTTCACTTCATCAGGTGGTTGTCAATCATGATATACTTCATGGAATTTACAACTGAAACTGTTATTTAATCTATGGAGGTAGATTGTTTTTGTTTGGTTGGTTTTGTTTTATGGTATATCAATCTCTATGGGTTATTTAATGCCAAAATTTAAATATTTTGAACAATTTTGTGCCTTCATCTAAATATATTTTGAATGCAATTGTATGCCTTCAACTAAAGATAAAATGCATTGTTTGTTATTTTGTTATAAAATGTATTGTTGGTAATTTTACTACAGATTTCTATGGTTGGTCATTTTTATATAAAAATATTTTGCCGATATGTTTACTATAAAAAATGTATTTTTATACTTTTATAGCATTTTATTCCGTATTTTTCCTTAACTGGGACCCTAACATGTGCTACCACCCTGGGTTAGGGTGGACTTGGGAACAACAGCAATTAAGAGGTGGTTCCAGGCTTCTCAAACACTCTAATCTCCTGATCAGAACCTTGCTGCTGGATGTAGTTTCTCATTATAGTAAGGAATGTTTCTCATTTCTCTGACCATGTTTAGGGATATGTCATCCTGTTCTTATTTTCTTCTGCCAAATCTAATTCTGTTATACCTGTGGAAACAGGGTGAGCAATAACTGAGCAGTACTAAAATAAGAACTAGAGAAGATATCTGTAGTCGTCAGAGGCAAAACGAGATCAATCTACACAGATTAAATAAAGGGTTAGTTCAATGTTCTCTGAAGATTATCCTGATCAATAAGCACCTGATGAAGGTTGGATAACACAACAGCTGAAAATATTGTGTTAATGACAACAAAGACAAGAACAATATTCAAAGTGTAAATAACGTGAATAAAACAGATAAAGTTGCCTCAATTCGCTTCAGTTCATTTTTCCACAGATTCTATTACCTGCACACAATTCCTCAGACATTTTCTGAAATAAGGCTTCCAGAGTAGAAGAATAATAGTGCTGGTAATCTGGATATACCAAAGAGAATCCATAATACACTTCCTTTAAAAGAAAAACTGAAAGTTCTCAGTTTACTATGATAAAAAAAAAAAAAAAAATTATACCAAGGTTACTAAGATCTACAATAAGAACAAATCTTCTATTAGCTACATAATTTTTACTCCTT